CACTGGAGATGTGGACTCCTCGTTCGTGGTATGATGTAACTCAGTCTGTAACCATAGAAACGTCTCCTGGAAAGACAGCAACACTAACGGAGGTGGACACATGTGTGGTGGTGTACACGATCCTTGGTGAACTGGGCTCTGATGCTTTTAGACGAACGTCTCGTATAAGATGCACCTGGCTGGCGTTCCTCTCTGTTCTCGTCAGGAGACCTAAACACTCGTTAGCATCTTTTCTTACTGTGTGAGACGTGAATCAGTGTTTCACCGTAAGAGGAACCGATGACTGTGACAAGGTTGTAAGCTTTCTTGGGCCCTCCTGAGCTCTGGAAGGAGAACTTTGTTTTCTGATGGAAGTTTAAACAGACGCGGCGTTGTTGGCTCGGCCGTTTGTCCCAGAAATGCATGAGAAGTGTATGTTTTCATTTATGAACAAAGTGGCTCTTTACATAGAGTCCCCTTAAAGTATTCCCTAAGCCTTTTCCAGTGGCCAAATCAGTTTTTAGAACAGTTACTGGAGAACAGAAGTCTTGTATTTGTTCAAATCTGAAGCAGTAGAGACTAAAGACCCTTACACACTCCGCCTGGACCGGGTTGGGAGGGTTCTCGTTTAGGTAGCCGTGAATTTTTCCACACGCAACTGGACGTCTTTCCAGCCCTCTTCTCAAGAAGGTCTGCCTGGAGCCGAACAGGACCGACATGCCCACTGCCGTCTGATTGGCTGGCTCAAAAACACGCCCACCATTAGAGGAACCCTATGATTGGCAGATAGAATCAGCCGGTGGGGGCTTCCCGCATGTTAACAAGCTTCTGACTGAAGATGTTTTTCTCTCTCACTGTTGTGAGGAGGCACACACACGCACGCACACACACACACAAACACACACACACACACACACACACACACACACACACACACACACACACACACACACACGCACGCACACACACACACACACACACACACACACGCACACATGCAAGCGTGTGTGCACACACGCACGCACGCATGCACACACACACACACATGCACACACACACACATGCACACACACACACACACACGCAAGCGTGTGCACGTACACACACACAGAAGCAAACACAAGCGCACACACACACACAACCACACAAGCGAACGCAAGCACGCACGCACGCACGCACGCACGCACGCACGCACGCACACACACACACACACACACACACACACACACACACACACACACACACACACACAACACAGTGCTGCCAGACACAGCAAAGCAGGATGTAATAGAGTCTCCAAAATCAAGACTGCTCTGGCCACTTTGCCCACGTGCTTGGAGATGAGCTCATGACATCACAGACCGCCCGTGTGCTCAATCACGCCCACATTCATAAGGCAGTGTAAAACGAACACGGGTGGGCGGGACCAAGCTGATGCTAGTGTGTAAGTGGCTTAAGAATCCAGAGATACTAAAAGTAATTATTTGAGTTCTTGCAGATAGCTAGTACTGATTTAAGTACTACTAAATTCTATTAAACATCTAACGAGAGGAGAATTTATATCCAAAAGTCATGGTTTAGAACAGTGGCAAGAACAAAAGCTCCATTTTAATGTTCTGAAGCAGAATCGGAAAGCATCTGCAGTGATGCGGGCGTTGTACCGGTCTGTTGTGGTAAAGAGAGAGTTGAGCTAGAAGGCAAAGCTCTTGAATTACCGGTCGATCTACGTTCCTATGGTCACGAGCTTTGGGTAGTGACCGAAAGAATGAGATCACGGATACAAACGGCTGAGATGAGTTTTCTCCACAGGGTGGCTGGGCTCTCCCTTAGAGATAAGGTGAGAAGCTCAGTCATCCAAGAGGGGCTCGGAGTAGACAGGATGCTCCTCCACATCAAGAGGGGCCAGTTGAGGTGGCTTTGGGTTTTGATGCCTCCTGGACGCCTCCCTGGTGAGGTTTTCTGGGCACGTCCAACCAGAAGAAGACCCAGGACACGTGGAGGGACTATGTCTCTCACCTGGCCAGGGAACGCCTTAGGTTTCCCACGGAGGAGCTGGCCCAAGTGGCTGGGGAGAGGGAAGTCTGGGCTTCTCTGCTTACTGCCCCCACGATCCGACTCCAGATAAGCAGAAGACAATGGATGGATGGACAATCAGAAACACCCAACTCCTTCATTCCTGATTTTCCATTGGAATCTAATGCAGGAGATCGGTGTAGGAGACCATTTTTATGTTCAACCTGCATGAAACACTCCGACTGTCTGTCTGTGACTTTGGGATCATCCCTATACTAAAGCTGAGTCCCAGTGTTTGCTGCTCTACTTCTTTAGGTTTTGTCTGAATGAATTGTTCTGAAGTTGCTTAATTCAGACTAAAACCGCAGGGTGGAGCGACATTTCCACACTGGTCTGGAACGTTCCTTCCAGATGGTTTGTAAAGCTTCCTGCACTTCGTAGAAGAACGTGTCCAACATGAGTCTCTCTGCTGAAAATACCTGAAGGCTCAAATCCTGCTGTGATCCAAGTAAACAACAACTAATAAAGGGTAAACATCCCTCTGGGGCAGGTATTCCTCTGGATTGTAGCTGTCAGAAGAGTGTGTGTGGCTGAGAGTGGAGGGAGGAGTTTTCCTCACACAACCAGATGTCCTTCAGCAGCTATTTGGTTTTCCCTTCATTAATTACTTTCACAAGTCTCAAAGCCACTAATATGTCTAACAAGCTGAGTGGGGAGGCGACACACCCGCTGGGACCCCTGGGGATACAGAGACCCAGTGTTGTCTGAGCCATTCACAGGGGTGAACTGGGACGAAAATTCACATGTGCCCTAAAGTTTGTGTATGTGTGTGTGTGTGTGTGTGTGTGGGGGGGGGGGGCATCGACTCACTTGGGTAAGTGGCCCACCGGGACGGTGCCAGATGGGCCAGTCCACCCCTGCACACAGAAGGTGAGATGCTTTCAACAGGGTGTTACTCCAGAAGGTGGGTTCTCAGTGGGTTCCTCGTGAAAACCACTCAGGTTAGCTTTAGAATTTAGTGAGATTTTAGTCGGGAGCACAGATTATTTATGTTCAGGAGTTTGGAAAAATGTCCAGATGAAGCTCTTATCTCCCTTCAGCTTCCTTTGTGTCATTTAACCAAACTCATCTGTGTGTGTGTGTGTGTGTGTGTGTGTGTGTGTGTGTGTGTGTGTGTGTGGAGAGCTGAGTGTAAACTTCGGCCATCTGCAGAAAAGACATTGTAGTTGAAAGATGATGCTTTTATAATCTGCTTGGGGAGAGTAGAACCTCATATAATTACAGGCTTTCTGCTGGTTACACACACACACACACACACACACACACACACACACACACACACACACACACACACACACACACACAGGCTCACACCGGTGTTGTGACATCATATGGCACCAGCTGACATCATAGGGTACTCTTAGCCAATCGTGATGACAGATTTAAATTCAAAATTTGATAAAATAACATCATTTCCTGCTGTTAAATGGACAAAAGTGTGTTTTTCCTCAAAATAGAGAAATTTATGGCACAACTGCTTTTATTTTAATAGTGGGTTAGCCGGTTAGCATTTTGACAGCATTTTACTTCTTACACACAATAACAGACAACTTACTATTTCTGTATTTGTGTTTCTAACATTACATTCGTGAGTTTTGTCCTCTGAAGTTTGGAGTATAACAGTTTGTGATGCAATGCATTAAGTCTGCAGAAGGATGCGTTTATGCATCCTCTATACAATGGGTGGAGCAATGCATGGAGGAATAGACCAAAATAGCAGCTGTAGTGTGAGCATACCTGGTGAAGACCTCCAGGAAACATGTGACCTGTCATTGCCAACTAAGGTTACATCACAGTGTTTAGGTGAACTTCATTATTGACCAAATACTTATTTTCTGCACCATTAAACACATAAATGTGTTAATAATCATCCCATGTGATTTCCTGGATTTTCTTACACGCTGCCTCCGACAGGTGAAGTTCACCTGTGATGAAAATTACGTCTCTCGTGGTTTTTGGTGGGACCAGTTGCACAATCGGTGGCTGCCAAATATTTTTGCCCCACTCTACCTATAAGTTTTTTTTACGTTGATCAGCACTAGCCTTCTTGGATGAAGTTGCCTCCAAAAGTTACTGTTGGGATGATTAGGTGATGTGCAAGACGATTTTAAAATGTTCCTTGTGATTCACGAAGTACTTATTTATTTTTTTTACTAAATTCAAACACACATGATTAAAATAAGATCAGGGCTGCAGCACAATAGTAAATGATCTGTATTTGTACAGTGCCTTCTTAGGGTTCTACAACCCCCCAAGGCACTTCACAACACATTCACCCATTCACGCGCTGGTGAGGATGAGCTGCAGCTGCCCTGGGGCGCCTGACAGACAGAGACTGTTCATCTGTACTCAGCCAGCTGTCCCTGGCTTTCATTGACCGGTTGATGGATATTCATAGTATAGATTTCCAGTTCTAGATATTCGCTCATGTTTCAGAGGGTTTAGGCTTAGCATTGTTTCAGTCGTCAGGGGTCTCCAGTCCCGATCCTCCAGGGCTACTGTCCTGCATATTTCAGAGGTTTCCCTGCTCCAACACACCTGATTTTAATCAGCATGTGGTTGTCAGGCCTCTGCAGGCTTGTTGAGCTGCTGAACAGGTGATTCAGCCATTGAATCAGGTGTGTTGGAGCAGGAAAACCGCTAGAATATGCTGGTTAGGAGTCCTCCAGGACCAGGGTTAGGGACCTCTGCCTATTGTTGCAAAGTCTCATCAAACAACTTGTTCTTCTTCAAAGGAGGTGTCGCTTTTAGATGTTTTTGTAGACACCAAATATTTAAACCTCTCAAAACTAAAACTATAGACACATGTAGGCTATAAGAAACGACTGTTTGTGTGTTAACACAAACTTTTTCATCTAAATGTGTGTGATTGATCTGGAACCATCATCTCTTATTATTGTGTTTTCTTCTTCTCCTTCTTGCTGCTCCGTCTGGGTTTTGTTCTGCAGCCAACTGCGTCCCTCAGTGCCAGAACGGAGGAATGTGCCTCCGGCCTCAGCTCTGTGTCTGCAAACCCGGCTCAAAGGGGAAGGCATGTGAGCAGACCACGGTGCCCGGGAACGGGCACACTAATGAAAACCACGTGGTGCCACAGCGGCCCCTTCCTCAGCAAGCGTTACCTAATGGTTTTGCCCCTGCTCCCCCCTCGGCTAACAACATGGCTCAGATGAAACTAACAGTCAAGGCGGCCCCCCAGTTTGTGAGACCCCATTACATTCAGCAGCACATCCAGCAGCAGTGAGTAAAACTCTTCTACCGTTTTTAATCGAACTTTTAACCTTTTACTAACCTGAGAGTGATTTACTAACATTTGATCTTCTTCAAGCTTCCTGTTCGTTATGTGCAACTCCACCTTAATGAAGGAAGACTCGTTTAAAAATGAAGCAAATCTCAAAACAAGGAAGAACAGAAACTTATTATAAATTCAACCACACAATAAATAATGACTGACCAAGTCTATGAGTCAGGTGTTGTTTTAACATATTTTCAAATCGGCAGCAATTCTTCTTATAAAGTTAGTTTTATTTTATCAAGATATATACGAACAGATTCTCATAGAAGATTTGGACTCAAGTCTGAGACACGCGAGTCACACAAACATAGAGATTTAATAATAATTTAGCATTTTTCTGAGTTAAAGGACTCCAAAGCCTGTTAAACCACACACACACACACACACACACACACCTACACACACACACACACACACACACACACACACACACACACACACACACACACACACACACACACACACACACACACACACACACACACACACAGATGCCACTGCTTCCTCCGACCACCATCAGCAGGTCGGGGTGCAGTGTCTTGCCCAAGGGCACAACGACTGACACCATGGAGCCTGGGTTTGAACCGGCCACCCATCTGTAACCCAGTGTTAAAAACACAAGTAAAAAAATAAATGAGGAGTTACGAGTGTGTTTAGAATGACTATCAGTGAAAAATGTTGAAGCCAGCTGTAATGGATGTTTTATTGAGGGACTGAACAACAGCTGCTGTAATCTGATTTCATCAGCAGTTGGTGATCGTTTCACCCCTCCTGCTGTGCGGCGTAGTGACGCCGATGTCATCAGACACATCGTGAGAGAGACCTGTGTCCGGTAGTGAACTCGAAAATTAGCTTGAAACTTGGAAATCGGTAAGAATAAAAAACAACCTCAAAGTATTGTTCAAATGATTCGGTTTTAGATTGTTTTTAACTCAGAGAGCTTTGGTTATGAGGAGATCAGACGTTGGAAATCTGCGTTCTGGCCTCGCTGCATTGGTGAGCTAAATGTTAGCGTATTAGCTCTGTTGGCTCTGCTATGCCAACATGCCCAATGGGTTAAAACTTGTAAAAGCCAAACAAATAAACATAAATAAACTGATATTTCTCTATTTTACTAAACTGATTACTCTTAGGAGGCAGACACAAATTGTCATGGCGGACGGTAGCCTGGCCTGCCAGACTCGTCCTCTGGTTAAGTCTGCACAGAGAAAGAGTCTGGTAACCAGTCATGGGAATAACGCCGTTTAAAATAACGGCGTTACTAACGGCATTCTTTTTTCGGGTAACAGAATAATCTAATTAATTACTTTTCCCACTGTTGCAACGCTACCGTTACTGGGGACGGAAGGCTGTGCGTTATTATGTGCCTGTTGAACGTTGAGCAACAGTGTGAGGCTTTCTGACCGCCACACTTCAGCTGCAGCCAGGGAGAGAGAGGTGTCGGTAACGCACTTACAAACACGATGATGATTGGCCGGGTGGGCGGAGACCCTCACTGTCTCAGTCACTGCATGCTGTAGACACAACAGAGCAGTGATGGGAACAACGCCGTTTAAAATAACCGCGTTACTAAAAAAAAATCTCACAGGATCTTTCATGGACGTTAAAACAGAGAGTCGGAGTACCCGGCCCGTAGGGTTACCGGGGTCCCACCCTGGAGCCAGGCCTGGGGTTGGGGCCCGTGAGCGAGCGCCTGGTGGCCGGGCTTTTGCCCATGGGGCCCGGCCGGGCCCAGCCCGAATCGGATACATGGGCTCATCCAACTGTGGACCCACCACCCGCAGGAGGAACACGAAGGGTCCGGTGCAGTGTGGATCGGGTGGCAGACCAAGGCGGGAGTCTTGGCGGTCCAATTCCCGGACAAGAAAACTGGTTTTTGGGACATGGAACGTCACCTCGCTGGCGGGGAAGGAGCAGGAGCTTGTGGCAGAGGTTGAGCGGTACCGGCTAAATATAGTCGGACTCACCTCGACACATAGCATTGGCTCTGGAACCCAAGTCCTTGAGAGGGGTTGGACACTCTCCTTTGCTAGAGTTGCTCCGGGTGAGAGGCGGAGGGCTGGGGTTGGCTTTTTGTTAGCCCCAAGACTCTCTGCCTGTGTGTTGGGGTTTACCCCGGGGGATGAGAGGGTAGCTTCTAGGGATGAGCGAGTACACCACTATCTGTATCTGTGTCTGTTCAACCAACTAAATTATCTGTGTCTGTATCTGTACTCGGAATGGGCGTGGCATAACCCGGAAGTGGGCGTGGTTTAACCGGAAGTAGGTGTGGTTTACATCAATATATTATTTTAAGTCTGAAATTGATATGGATTGATCACAAGTTGCTATGTGTGTTGTTTATTTGAAAACTACTTACAGAGCAGCTTCAGAATTGAGATTAAATAGTTTTGATCACAATAGTAAAGGAACTATTACAGAACAAGTTTTTCAATCAAATCAGAACATTAATATTTAAGTGCATGAATTAATACATCTGAACTCATGCAGTAGGAACTAGGAAATATGAAATGCTAGAACCAGACACAACTTTATATATATTTTTTAATTTTAATTTGATTAAACTGATTTTTTTCTTAACGTTCTTGGCATTTTCCCACACAAAGTTAAACAAAACGATGTTGATTAAGGTGTGTGTGTGTGTGTGTGTGTGTGTGTGTGTGTGTGTGTGTGTGTGTGTGTGTGTGTGTGTGTGTGTGTGTGTGTGTGTGTGTGTGTGTGTGTGTGTGTGTGTGTGATAGAGAGGGAGAGAGAGGGAGTTAAAAAATTTTTTAAAAACCCGACCGGAGCGGAGGTAGTGACTAACACAGCACGTCAGCTCTGTCTTGTTAAATGCACCATGTAAGTTACGAAAAAAGTAACTTTAAGTATTCAACCGAAAAAGAGGCGAGCTGAAGAAAACCTAGGGACTACTGAAGAAACGTGAGCAGCAGTGAAGCAATCACAGCGAGGTCCGTTACTGTCTGTGTGTGTGCGTGGATGAGCCGGACGGACTGCGCTCCCGGCTGGCTGCAGTTTTGTGTGTAGGGAGGGGCGGGCGCTCTATGTGACTGGCCAATCACAGAGCGTGAAGACATTCAGTTACCCAATGAGGATTTTCCTTCAGCACGATTACAGATATTTACGTGTTTTACTCGTTTCATGCTCGTATTCGTCAAAAATGCTTTATCCGTACCGGATACTTGTCTGAAACGAGTATCCGGCTCATCCCTAGTAGCTTCCCTGCGCCTTCGGGTCGGGGAACGGGTCCTGACTGTTGTTTGTGCCTATGGGCCAAATATCAGTTCAGAGTACCCACCCTTTTTGTGGAGTCCCTGGGACGAGTGCTAGATAGTGCTTCATCAGGGGACTCCATTGTCCTGCTGGGGGACTTCAATGCTCACGTGGGCAATGACAGCTTGACCTGGAGGGGTGTGATTGGGAGGAACGGCCCGCCTGATCTGAACTCAAGTGGTGTTTCGTTATTGGACTTCTGTGCAAGCCGCAGTTTGGCCATAACAAACACCATGTTCGAACATAAGGATGCCCATCGGTACACTTGGTACCAGGGCAGCCTAGGTCGCAGGACGATGATAGACTTTGTAGTCGTATCATCTAACCTGCGGCCGCATGTTTTGAACACCCGAGTGAAGAGAGGAGCGGAGCTGTCAACTGATCACCACCTGGTGGTGAGTTGGATCAGATGGCAGGGTAAGATGCCGCGTAGACCTGGCAGACCCAAACGCATAGTGAGGGTCTGCTGGGAACGCCTGGCAGAAGAACCTGTTAAGACTGTCTTCAACTCCCACCTCCGGCAACTCGCTCACACCGTTTACAGTGGGGATGGGGAGCTGCTGACGTCAACTGGGGCTATAGTCGGACAGTGGAAGGAATATTTTGAGGAGCTCCTCAATCCCACATATGCGCATTCTGAGGAGGAACCAGAGCCGGGAGACCTGGGGATGGACTGTCCAATCTCAGGGGTAGAAGTTGCTGAGGTAGTCAAACAACTACACAGCGGCGGGTGCGCGAGCTGCCGCTAGGGGGTGCGCGAGGTGAAAAGTGTAATGGCTGCGGAGCTCAGAGAAGTCTGTCATATGTCACCATTAGCGTAGAAACTCATTTGTGGGTGGGCCAAAGAAAAAGTAAGTGGGCCCAATAAATGTAATTGAAAACAAGTATATTTGTTGTGAATTATTATAAGAGCATGGGGGGGGGGGGGGGGTTTATTAATGCTAGTAACAAATAGAAATGACTATTATGTTAGTTCATGGAAATGTTGAATTTGAATGTTCACCAAGGACATATTATTTAATTTGATTATTTAGTGTTATGAGACAGTATTTCTGATTTGAAATTAGTTAAGAGGCTCAGTATTGTTTAATCTTTAAAACTGCATTACCCATGAGACTTAGCGTGTTCCCAGAAGGCTTAACGAGAAAAACCAGGAAGTAGAGAAAAAACTGGCGCTAAGAGCAGACATGTAACTTTCCTGTAAGGTGTTCTAATTCACTAAAGTTTCGAGTTCAGCAAGACAAAGTCTCGTCTCATTCTTTATTTTGAAGAAGCTCGGTTGAGCTACAATATTTTTGGTGCCGAAACCCGGGATAAAGATGACTGAAGGTGAAGATAGAGACCTCGAAGGGAGACTGGATACAGGAGGACGCATTGAAAAGGTGAAACGTAAACGACGGACAATTCGGAGTTCCACAACGAGACTATTAAACCAGATCGATGCGGAAATGTTAAAGGATGATCCGGATTTAAGTCGTATGCGGGACATGCTGGCAGTTTTAACAGCAAAAGAGGACAGCCTACAAGAGCTGGATCGCGAGCTGGAGGAATCCACTTCACTGGAGGATATGGAGGCAGAAGTTGAACTCTCGGAGGAGTATAAGGATCGCATTATCGGAACGAAAACCCGAGTACACCGCATTCTGAGGGCACGGGAACCTGTGAGTAATGA